GAATGCTCGAAGTTTGTTTCATAAATTATTAAATCTAGAAATCTTCTTAACAGAATTCGACGACTTTTTCAAAATTATAGTAATATCAGAAACGTGGTTGAACAATGAAACAGTTGATTTAATTAAGTTAAATAATTACAATTTTGTATATAAAAATAGAAAAAGCAAACGAGGCGGAGATGTTGGTGTGTTCATAAAGCATGACATCAAATATGTTGTAAATGATAACAGTGCATTTGATGATGAAAATGTCGACGTTCTCTGTGTGGACATTGAATCGGGGCATGCTTCATCTAGGGGTGTGCTAAAAGTTATCGCGATATACCGCCCACCCAATTATAAATTTGAGCCTTTTTTAAATAAAATCAATTTGATTTTACACGCCATCAAACCCGCCGACAAAACTGTTATAGTGGGCGACTTTAATGTTAATTTATTGGACAATGATTCAAATGATTCTAAAGACTTCCAAAATTTACTATTTTCATTTTGTTTCTCGCCTTTAATTAATTTACCAACAAGAGTAACTTGTAACGCCAATTCATTAATCGACAACATATTTACGAACCTGTATCAACATTGCGAAAGTGGAGTCATAGTCTCAGACTTTTCTGACCATTTTCCAGTTTATGCAATAGTAGAAAATTTTAAAACTGCTATCAATGATGACCAAATTTTATGTAGAAAAATTAATAAAACATCCATTTTCTTTATTAAAAAAATAAAGAAATCTAGAAATCTCTCACTTCAAAATTGGCATTCAGTTAAAAACGAGAATAATATAGATACAGCATGCCTGAATTTTTACAATATACTCAATAAAACTCTTGACACATACGCACCTCTGCAGTGGCAGAAACAAAAATATAAAAAAGCATGGGTATCTGATGAAATAATAAAATTATCAAAAAAACAGAATCGACTGTATAAAATAGCAGTCGCTGCACCAAACTCCGCTAATGTTGAAAAATATAAAAAGTTTAGAAATTACTTTACATCAGTAAAGAGAAAGGCAGAAAAAAATTATTTTCAACAAAAATTTGAAGAGGCAAATAGTTGCTCCAAACAAAAATGGGAAATAATAAACGGTATAATGAATAGAAAACAAAACAATCTTGAAATCAATAAGCTAAAAGTCGACGACAAAATCATCGAAGACCCAGAGGAAATAAGTATTCTTTTCAATGAATACTTCATCAATGTCACAGAGAAGCTGTTGGAAAATCAAATAGTTACTGAAGATAAATTAAAAATAAATAGTGCAATCTGTAAATCAATGTATATGAACTCCACCAATGATGAAGAAGTAACGTACATTGTTCAAAACTTAAGCAACAAAAACAGCACGTCAGATGATACTTTAAGTAACAATCTACTTAAAAAAATCATACCAGAAATTGTCATTCCAATCACTCATATTTACAATCTTTCCATCGTCCAAGGAATATTTCCACAATGCTTCAAAACATCCAGAGTAGTTCCAATTCACAAAAAGGGGAGCAAATTAGAGACAAGTAATTATCGACCAATATCTCTACTTTCTCCACTTTCCAAAGTACTAGAAAAAATAATTTTTGTCAGAGTCACCTCATTTCTGTCCATAGATAAATTATTAAATGATAATCAATATGGCTACAGAGCACAGCATTCAACTGAACAAGCTTTGCTGCAATTAGCACAAAATGTTATGAATAATCTTAACGAAAAGATACTAACTGTAGGTGTATTCATAGACCTCTCAAAGGCCTTTGACGTCATCAACCACGATATACTGATTAAAAAATTAAATTCACATGGAATAAGAAGAAAAGTAAGTGCATGGTTCAAAAGTTATTTAGAGAACAGAGACCAGTATGTGGCAATAAAAAGTCACTCCTCAACAAAACTTAACGTAAGATCAGGCGTGCCACAAGGATCAATTTTAGGTCCTCTTCTATTCATAATCTTCATGAACGATTTTCAACATGCAACTGATGCAAATCACCTTCTATATGCAGATGACACTAACATCTTCTTCCCAACTAAAGACCCATTGAAAGAAGTAGAATACATCAATAACAGTCTTCAAAATATATCAACCTGATTTATCAAAAATAAATTAATAGTAAATTA